GTCGGGACCCGTGCTGTAAGGTAGTTGCATTGTGTTTCACCTCTGGGGTCTACCTGCATGGGTTCGGACAGGCCGGGGCAATAGCTGGCCAAATGCCCTTCTTCCTTACAATAAAAACATAGCCGGGTTTCTTTCCATGGCCGGGGCCTCGAGTCAGACCTCCCCCGAAGGGGTTTTTTAAATTGTACAAGTTCCGGGTAATCACTATACTTCATAGGCCGATACTTCATTCCGGTTTCCAGACTCTTGGGGCTTCTTCTCTCCTCCTTCCGAAAATCCCCCTTTTCCTCCCTAATCAGGGCCTCTGTGGCATGGTGTCCGTCCACCAAGTCCACAGCCTGATCTAGTGTCTGGGGATCCCCTTCACTTACTTTCCTTTTCAGGTGAACAGACAGACTCCTCACGAAATGATCCAACACCACCCTTTCTACCACCTGTCCTGGGTTTAATTCTTCTGGCTGGAGCCATTTCTTTGCCAGATGTACCAGGTCAAACATCTGAGACCTCGTAGGCTTGTTCACCTGGTAGCTCCAATTGTGAAATCGGACTGCTCGTATCGCCATGGTTACCCCTAGTCTTGCCAATATCTCCTTTTTCAGAGTCTAATAATTCTCTGCATCTTCTTCTTTTAAATCATAATATGCTTTTTGGGCTTCTCCAATTAAATAAGGGGATACTCTCCCAGCCCATTGCTCTTTGGGCCATGCGTTTCGAGATGCAGTTCTTTCAAAGGTGGTTAAATACGCTTCCACATCATCAAGCTCAGTCATCTTTTGTAGCGTAATTTGTTCCGCCTGAGTGGTGCCTCTCCCCGCTACCGGGGCCTGCCGGATTTCTTCCCTTAATCTGTGCAATTCTGCGCTAACTAATTTTTGCTCCTCTATAATTCGTTCGTTAGTTTCGCTTTGGATTTGACTCGCCTCCAGTTGTGCTTTGATAGCTTCTCGTTGTCCTAATGCCTGGAATTGGGCGAGGGTGGCCTGGGACAACTGCTGAATTAATTCTTCCATAGCGTTTCTTCACATGTGCAAAGCGAAACCCGCACACACACACACAAAAAAAAACTTGCTTTCTTTGATTCTCAAACCCAAGCGGGAGTTGCCCGCATCCTCCACCAATTGTGGTGTCACCGGGGGAGAGTTTATGTTAATGAAGGTAATACTTACACCACACTTTTCTTTCCTCAGATCTGTGGCGTTTCTTCCAATAACTGTCTTCCTAATACAGTCCGTAATTCCCTTAGTCCTGATCTGTTCCGAGTTCCAAAAGTCCGTAATAAAGCCAATCCGCGATGTATCCTGAACCCGTGTCCGTAATCCAAAACCATAAACCTTTTCTCCTTGCAGTAGTCCATTATTCCTTAACATGCACCTCTTTCCACTCTTTTCCTCCAAAACGCATTCACCTTACCGGCTTCCGCCCTGTTCACCGCCTCCGGGGCACTTATATTTTGGTTCCTGATGCGTCTCAGCTGTGCCTCATTGTTTCTTAAGGTAGACCCTTTCCATCTACTGGTCAGCTGATTCTTTTTGTCCGCCATCTTGCTAAGGTCCATCTCTAGTATTTTCAGTGTTTCGTTTCGGAAATACCTGTTAGAGATTACCCTTCCCCGGGTCCTCTTACACTGTACATACTTCACAGAAGCCGGAACTTTACCTTTCTCAGGAAACAAAACTGTAAATGAGACTGATTGGCATTTAATCCAGCTCCAGCTGGCATTTGATCCCATTTGACTTTGGGAATGCATTAGTCTTATGGTTAATTCTTGCCTTGCTCTAGAATGTTGCCATGAATCATAGCCGTAAACACCAGATTCATGCAGTCAACCAGGTTCGTGCAGTTTTTTTGAAGACTTACAGTTGTTGCCCTTGGGTATGAATAAGCCTCCCAAATAATGTTTCTGGTCTTACAATCTAATCATACATTTTTACACACTCTTCTTGGTGCAATAGCAACCACCTAAATAGCCTTTAACACCTGGATGATGCACACCAGTTAAAAGAGGGATGTTTAGAAAAGATGATAGAATTTTTTATAGCTGTCACAAGAGTTGCTAGGTTTTTTTAGGTTTGTGAAGGTTAGATATTTTAGCATAGATCTTTGGATAATTCTGACTTTCCTCATGACGATTAGTTATTTTGCTTTTGCGTTTAGCCACCCTCGAATTCTCAGTGTTATCAGACAATTATAGAAGTTTCTTACAGTCTCTGAGCTTCTGTGAAATTACAACATGACTAAAAATGATTACAGGAATAAAGAAAAAATATAAAATAAGGGAATAAATTCCTGTATTTACTTTAAATACATGTATATGGTGGGAATAAATTAGAAAATTATTTGTTGCAATATCCAGGACTGATAGACATGCAATTTATTTTATTAATACTACAATTCTTATTGTACATTTGCATGTTTATCAAGGTAATTAATAAAACTGTAGCCAACTGTATGTTTTCTGTTTAGAGATCAGTCCTTAGAGTGTGAGTTTTATAGGATGGGTACAGAACCTTATTATCGCACCATTCTGTGTGACAGTTTTGCCACTGGAATCATTGTTTTATTTTTGTAAGGTAAGGTACAAGGTATCTGCAATCATTGTATAAGGTGTGTGACAATTTGTGTTGTCCAAAACAGAAAGAATAATTCAGCTGTTCTTCGGAAATCTGTTTCTTCAGAAATACAGTCTTATTGGAAAATGAAGCCCTCAGCCATAAACTATTCAAGCAAAACATTAAAAGCTGACATGATTAGAACATTTCTCGTATTACATATTTAGAATTTAAAGCAGTTCTTTTAATTGCAGCCAAGCAACCACAGACGTAAGTGAGGATATACTGAACAGGAACCAGACAGTATGGTCCCTTTAAAACTTCAAAACATTCGCTTTTTACTCAAAGGAAAAAACAATCTCTTGAAATCTCAGCAGCAGCTTGCATTGCCTAAAGATAATTCAAGTTACTGGCTGCCTGAAGCCTTTTAAATGAAAGGAAGCTGCTTTGAGGTACCCCCAAGGGATTCGAAGAAGAAACTACTCTGTTACAAATGCTGTCAAATTTCAGGAAGAGTGGGCTGTGGTCCTTAGAAGCTACTGCAGACAGTATCTTATTGACTGCAGTTATTAGCGTTCCATATCCATCTGAATGGCACATTAATTATCAACTAAATCAGCATTATAATGTGATGATGATCCGACAACAGTGATTTAGTATTCAGAATGTAACTTGAACCGTCTTGATTTAACACAAAGATTGCTTTAATTATGGAGCCTATTTAACATCTTTTTAATGAACACTAGCACAGATTCAAATCTACAACAATTTTAAATGACCATGTAAAAACTAAACACACAAGGCTGCAAATGAACTGTCAATTAGATTAAATGTTCCTAAATCAAAACTATTAATATAAGATTAGTTGCATTTAATAATTTTTTGCACTAATAAGATCTGCTGAGACTTTTTAAAAATCTTTCTACATAAACAATGTCTTAATTTGAATTTCTAAAATGATGGAGAGGCACTGTAGATGTGTATTTTAAGGATTTGCAGCTTGACCTAAAAGTGCTACGATTTAACAGAAGACAAAAATCCCAAAGGTAGCTTAAGTTAAGAGAGTGAGGTTTCTGTATGGAATGAATAGCTTTTGTTGGATTTCATTAATTCTGCAACATGTACAAAGATGGAAATATTTACTCTCCGGAATAAAATATTCCCGATATAGAGTACATTATAAAAAAAGGAGGAATTAATACATTCAATTCAAAGAACAACACATCAAAATGTTTTTAAGCAATCCAATATTCCCTGAAGAGGTTTGTCATCCACTACCTAAGCCCTTTCTGACATCACCAGGCTTGCTTTCCTACTGTTCACTTGCATTTGCAGCATGGTGTCACTCATGCGCTTCTTAAACACTTGGTATTTTGCCTATGTCACAGGTACAGTATCATACTCCAGCTTGCAATAACTGTCTAAACTAATGGCCATAATGCCTTTCATGGAAACAGCAACCTAATACTCCCTAGCAGTTGGAGACAATGGTCATTACCAGTGGATATTCAATACCCAAGCTGGAGCTAGACCAGCTGGGCGAATCTCAATGAACACCAAATAATAGTCGGCATCATAGCTATGGGCAGTGCTTGCCTTCAGGATTCTGGTCCCAGTGCAAGGGGCTATGTAGTTGCCAAGTTGATCTTGTAAAGCGTGGTGGAAGAATACATGGACAAAGACAACTGTACAGAGGCTTTGCAAAAAATCCTTTTCTGTAAGGAATAGCTGGCAATCATTATTCCACTGTTTTTTAAAATCTCCAAAATGCCACAGGAAACCCTTAAATATGAACAATTTAATGTTCAAGGTCCTCAATGTTAAAATAGACTGACTTCTCAGTAAAATGTGTATAAGTGAATTGGACTTCTTATTACTGGGAACAGAACCACAATTCTTCAAATTGTTTTGGGCTGGCTTATGATGGGGGGTTGAGTTGCAGAAGTAAGCAGTAATTATTTTTCTTTCACATATTAACATAATATTTTGTAATCAGTTGTTTGGAGACACAAAAAGTGTCTTTAGATGTAGGAAGAAGAACATATTCATATATATTGAAAATACAAACTCTACTTTGAATGCAAAAAATGAACTAGAATAAAGCAGGTAACACTGAGAACAAACTTGAAAACACTGAAAATATAAAATATTTGAATCTTTAAACAGACATATGAGCCTGAAAAGAATAAGAAGCTAACATGTATTAAAAGCCAGTGCATATACAATAAAATGGTACCAAATCTGTCTTACGTCTCCACTAAACAGCACCTGTCGGCTTACCTAAGCAAAGATTGATCTTGTGCTAAAATACAAGCACAAGCTGACAACAAAGAAATATTACCCATGATGCTTCGATTAACTGGACTTACCACTTGCTGAATGTTCAAGTTATTTGTCTTCCCATAGCAAAGATCCAACAGCGTCACTGGCTCTTTGGTCAGATTTCTTCCAGACAACAACCAGGGCATTGCGAGATTCTCCACGTTGGCCACCTAGAGATGAAGAAGAAATCACAGCACTAAAAATAGTTTCTTTGCTTCTTTACAAAAAAATCTTTGTTTAAGCTGCTTGTATGTCTTTCTATGCATTCTCCACAAAGGGGTTTAACTCTTTGCTCTGCGAAATTATCTGAAAAGGCAGGAGAAGTTTTCTAAATAAGTAAATGAAATGTAAACATTCTTTCTGATACCGCTGCTAAAAACCATTTAATTACAGAAGTATTTAGTAAACAATAACAACAATGTTCAAAACTACTAGGTAATGCTACAAAGGCACAAAATTTCAATATAGACCTTGAAATGATTAGGTATTCAGTGTTTTATCAAAATTAAATCAGGAATAAAATGGGTGAGAAGACACCATTGGAATTACATAAGTGGAGGAAAAACAGTAGTAATTTCACCTAGACTTCCACCTTCTGGACTCGCTATTGAGCTCCAGTGTTATTCAAGACACTGTTATAGGACCAAATTCATCATAACAGCTGTAGAAAACAGAGATATTGAGAATGTTTTTTATGTAAATAACTGTAAAAAAACTCATAGCTTGGTCAATGTATGATCTTCTCTACAGGCATACTGTTATTTAAATTTTGTTGATTGTCCATTACAACAATTTCTGTGCATAGAAAAAATAATAGGGACCAGTATCTAATGTTAATTTCAAATTTATGTAAGAGAAAACATATTTATTTCCTGATATCAGCACAGCACATGGTAAAAGAGAAACAAAAAAACCTCTTCAAAACATTTTCTTAAGTATGGATTTTGAAAACATCTTTTGCATTCTAATGAGAGACCTGGTTTACTAAAGAATTGAGGCCATGGTTTCATTATGATTCTGAGTCAAAATCTTAGTCTGAAGACAGCCCACAGGTGTACTATTTGCATTTCAAAGGCATGAACAAGCACACTGGGGGGTGCCAGCACACTCCTTCCTTTGAAACAGAACACAGGAAACATACTAAACACAGAAAAAGCCATTAATCGCTCCTAGTTCCTTGATTCCTTGAGAACAACTTTCAATAAGAAAATCCAATATGTTCTTAAAGAACTCTATAATATCAGAATTGACAACTTAACCAGGCAGCAGAGCAATTACCTTATTTCTCCGAATAACACTTTCAAAGTTCTCTACTAAAACTGCCCTTGCTGATCTTCTAGTTCTGGCCCTTAGTCACACTTCCTGAGCTCAGGAGAGGAAAAAAAATCTGAAATTGACATTTCTTATATTGATTCTTTTGAAGATTTTAGAACTTTGATAACCTTCCCCAATCCCATTTTCTTTTTAAGTTCAGTTCTTTCAACCTGTCCTCTGTCCATACTGTAACTCTGTTCTTTTCCCACTGGAACAGTCTTGTTGTTCTGCTCTGAAGTTTTTCCTTAGTGTATTGTTCTTCAAAGAATAAAATGAACAATATTCAACGTATGTATACATTGGAACAACTTAAAACCAAGTCATATTGTCCCACATTTTATACTGTGAACTTTTAGATCATAGATTTAAGCAATATAGAAGTGTTTTGTGCAGTTCAATTGATTTTGACAGACTAAAACCGATTGTCCGCATGAAAGTGGTACAGCTCAGATACATTTTAAAAATGATACAAAATGCATTTTTAAAACAGAATAAATACATTACAAGAAATGGAACTAAGAAAAACTAATATATAAACTCCACTAACAAGGCATTACTCTGGTATATAAGTCTTTGTATATCTGGAATATTCCTGGGTACAGTCCTGGGAATACAGAGTTCTTGAATTTGAATGGGGACTCATAAGAAGGAGAAGAAAAAAAACAGTATCAGCTGGGATTCATTCACTGCACCACAGCAAGCTCCATCGATCTGATTAGTTTGGTCAGATGATGTCTCAGGGTAAGCTCAGTCCTCCAAGGATCGGTAACAACTTGCACCAATTTGGTTTAAAGTGAAAAGAATCTAGCAAGGCTTACTTCTTTCAATCTATGACAGCCAAATTTACCCTCAACTTCCACGACCTACAAATGTACCGCAATCCCTCAAGGAGTTTTCAATTCATTGGGCTGTGAAACAATACTGAATAAAAAGCACAAGAATGGAAGAATCACAGGAAGTACCGCTTCAGGCAATCAAATTATTTGGAAAGTTGCATTAATAAAAAACAGTTATGTCTTGGGTAATTAAGGAGCAGAGGACATTGATGTACTGTAAGTGATTGAGAATACCCTTTCCCCTTACAAGGGTGGACAACAGATGTTTTATTGAACTGAGTCAAAACAGACTCTCTCATCCCTAATACAGAGAGCTTGGTAATTTCACAACCAAAGTTTTAAAAAAATATATCTTTTCTTGTGAGGCCAAAACATCTACATACAGTATAATGCATGTGATGCACTGTATTACCCAACAAGGAAGGAAGTCAGACATGAACTATGTGTAGTTTTTATTGCAATTAGACAGGCATTAGAGTCTTGTTTGTGACTGACCCCTAATGCAAACTATACTGATTAGAATGGAAACACTGCTGCTTGTAAATTAATCAGAATACACAAAGTCTTTCTTAGTAAGACATCATTTGGATTCAAATGTTTTATGGTCTGGCAATAATGACTCACTACATCATGAATCTATTGTTTCTGGTCAAAAAACTACAGAATACTTATTTTACCTTTAAGGTTATAAGTCAAGAAAACAAAGAATGAGTATAAATGTAGCCTCCCCTTATAAAATACAAAAATAAAAAAAACACCTGCAATTTATATTATATGCAATTTCATTTTATATTGAAAATAGCTCCATCTGGAATATCTGAATATTATTTGTGGAAAACTGACAATTAATGAGAACCTTTGAAATAAGTTCAAGATAGGCCATTGAACTTTCACTTATCCTCAGGTCTGTAATCACAATGGCCTTTTGTAGTGCCAAGTTTGATCTGCGGAACACAGCTTAAAATGCATTGCAGTAATTTTGACATGATAACTGTATATTTAATGTACTGTATACTACAGAATACTAAGTAATAAAAATAAGAATAAAATAGACATCGAATTCACAGAAAATTTAAACTCAGCCATAAATTCAGTTACATTAATGCGAGAGGTTTGCTTGTTTACCTGATTATAGTTTATGAAAAACTGCTGATCCTAAATTGTAATAGCGAGAACATGTTTTGTTCAGCCGTGCATACAGAGATGATGCCCAAGGCCAAAGCATTTTTTTAGCAAGCCAGCACAGTTTAAATCTGTGAATACAAACACACTGGTGACAGTTTTACACATTCAAATGACAAGTACCCATCTTTTTCACTTAAGCCACAAACAGTCTACAGCTGTCAAGACTGTGGTCTTGGATGTAAGGGATGCACCACAAGCCAAAGCAAATATTCTGGAATATCTCAGCTCTTGTTTTGAGACTTTTATATGATTACAAGTTAGTGCCTGCAGCTATCTGGATCTTACAGCCAAACCAACTTCCATTCTTTTTGAGTTGATCTGGTGAGCATCATACCAAGAGAGTAAATTCCAAAGATGGAAAACAAGAAAAGGGTTTTGATTGCTCTTCCCATCTTGGAACAACGTAAATCAGTAATTAGGTGTTATTATCAGTTGGCACTGAAAATATAAAATAAAAGCAAAAAAAGAGCAATAAAAGCATTGCATCAATAGTGTTTAATGCAACTGTAATTGCATGAGGCAAAAAAAAAATCCTCATGCAAGTTTATGTCCACCTGCATCCATACTTCTAAAAAGAAAAGTATTGTAAAAATGTAAAATAAAACTCCAATTAAAAGATCCAATCTTCTATGTCTTAAAGGGCTTATATTTTTTCACTAAAACTCCTTATACTTATATTATTGGTCAACTATCAGATTTCACTTTCAAGTCAAACATTTCAAAATCTCAACTTAGCCTGCAGAAGATGGTAAGACTCTTTCATGATCAGGAATGTTGCATCATCTGCCAATACTTACTGTACATAAAGGCTGATTTATGCAGCAGTGCTGCTTTCTAAGCCAGGTTCATTACTGACTTTCTTACATTCTCAGATGCTCAAATAGCTACTTACAGTTAAATTGCAGTCAAAGTATATATACTGTATAAAAAAAGTTTGTCCTGATTAAAAATCAGCATGCAGCATAAACATCCAAAAACTTTACTGTATTTAATAAACCGATCCAGTATAGAAGTATCATTGTCTGTATCAAGAAGGCTGAGGCATCAGTGCGTTTTGGCACCTCTCTATCCATTAGGTCTTCAGACACATATGGGTAGGAATGTTTTCCAAAGTATCTGATTTCAGAATCTGTTCTCCTCCCAGCACCACTGTCTCAACCACAGAATAAAAAGGCAATGATCAATGGCTCAAAATACTTAACATGTGTAATCCTTTTAGAAACTTGAAAAGAAAGACTGCATTTTATCAACTTTTCTATGTTTTTAAATGCAGACAGTACACTTAGTTCAGCAATTTGAGCTCATTTATATGATGCAAACATTAACCTCAGAGTGTCAGTTCTTATTGTTTTTATTATTGCTGAAAAGTGATGTTCTTCCACAAGGTCAGGAATTAGGAAATTCAAGCTTTCAGAAACAGCATGAGGGCATATAACAATGTTTTAGACTTTTACAGCCAAAGAAGCACAGTGCATTTATGCCATTTATGCTTTTTTTTCCACAGCTCTAGTTTAGATGCAACTAAATTACAAAACAGCGTTAGTTTATATTCAGCACTCAAAATTACAATTTGGAAAACAAGAATATAAAACAGACGATTAAAGAAAAGCATCTCTGTACATCCCACTTTTTTCCACCATTAGGTGGTTTGTAATTGAAATAAGAGAACAATGTTGTACAAAACCTAGCGAGGTTGTATTTTTCTTTCTTTCTTTTTTCACCAAAACAGCATAATTTGTTTTGAACCCCAGAGTACAGGACGCCCAGTCTCTTATACAGTCCCCAGGCAAGAGAACAGTTCCTCTCTATCATATTATTTCTTTGCCTGCTGCATG